GATGTATGACCTTATCTTAACTTGATTATCTTTGCTACGACTCATTTCCAAATAAAGTCACATGCACAGGTACCAGGGGATTAGGGCGTCAACAGATCTTTTCAGGACAAAATTCAACCCCCACACCTCCAAACCAGCTGGTTTTAATGCCCCTTCTCTGTGTCTCTGTAGCACCTTCACTCACATGTCCCATACAGTTGCCATACTGTATTGTCATTTTTCTTGGTAGTTGTTTCTGCCACTAGACTCTCACTTCCATGAAGGAAGGACTCATTCATAATGTCTTAGCAGACCAAGTACCCAGCAAAACCTCCACCACCTGGTGGGCACTGAAACGTTTGTCATGTGCACCACTGTGTCAGCATCACCGTGATCCTATGTATGTCTTAAATTAACAGCATATTTATATAAGTTTACATAAATATTTATTTCACATGACATATATACGTATTAATGTATGTAATTGCTACCATTTATTGAGTATTTACCATGTGCTAGACAATTATGGTAAACACTGGGGTTTTTTTAATCCCTTTGACTCCTCACAAGAATATTAAAAAAATTTTTTAATTTTAGTTTTGTTACAGATGTTTCTCCTTTTTTTTCTCCATTGACACCCTAGAATATTAAAATTTAAATATGGTTTTCCCCATTTCACAGATATTATAAATCAGGCTTAGAGAGAGTAGTTAAATTTCCTGAAGTCATAATTTATGGACTTGATCATAAGTACATTGGATTGCAACCCAAACCCTAATGCTTTGGTGTCCTGCTCGCACACAGACTGTCCTCTCTGATGCTCCCTTTTTGTGGAGGTGGTTTGTCTGGGGTTCACATTCACAGTCTCCTGATGAACACACTGGAGCCCAGAGAGGTCAGGGCACCGGCCGGCCTCATGGTCACCCACAGTGCCCAAGGCCTTCTGCTTCAAGATCACCTCTTTAAAAATGGCTTTTCTTTGTTGATCATAAAATGATTTTTATGACTGTTTGAGAACAAGAGGACATGGAATGAAAAGAGCCTTTCCTTACTAGTTCATGACCTAACTGACGTAGCACAGGACTTACAAATTGCAGTGGGAAACGGCTGTGAGAAACAGGTTCTCCAACCTCGAGGCCTAGGAAACAGTGTCACGCGTGCCATGTGGTTCCGTGTGGAGGAGGATAGGGCTTATTTTGGGTCAACAGTTCTGGAGGAGGGGAGGAACCACTGCGGTTGTGTCAGCCCCCAGCCCGGCTCTGCCCGGACAAGTCCTGGGTGCTGCTCCCACGTACTCAGCATCTCCCTGGACTTGAGGTCCCATCTGGGTCTCAGGAAGGAGGAAGGGGGCCCGGAGCCCTGCCTTTTGAGACTCGGCATCCAGCTGGGCTTGCCCTGTGTCCCAGGACTGACAACTAACTGGGCGTCTGCCTCCAGCCCCAAACCCCAGGCCTCCTTCTGGGGTCTGATCTGGTGTTGCTTCTCCAGCCTGAGGCACAACTCAGTTAACCTGCACCATTACCTGGTATTTCTTGACCTGTATACCAAGATGTTATTGCCAAATCTCAGTCCCCCTGGACTGAGTCAGAACCCTAGCCTCAGTAATTAATGAAACCGCCATGCCTCTACAGCCCTGGATGCAAAACCTCCGCGGCCCTCTGAAAAATGCCCATCTACTTGATAGAACACCGGACCACGTAGGAATCGCTAGATGGATATTTGGTTCTGTTCTTGTCTTGCTCAGTTGGGAAAAGACAACCGAGAAGAAGCCTTCGCCGAGCTTCGGCCTGCAGTCAGCAAACGGGCGGGCGGGCCGCAGTCTCGGAAACAAATAGCCTTCCTCTTGTTCAAGGACAGTTTCCAAAGAAAGTTCTGCTCTCTACTTAATTGGATTCTTTCTTGCTGCAATGTAAGCCTTCTCCTCTTTTCTCTGAGTGGAATTACAGCTCATTGTCTCTGAAGCTCACGGGGGCACCTTTTCTAAGGAAGACGGGAGCTGCCTCTCTGCGGGCCTGTCTCCGCACCTCTGCCTCCTGCGGATGTCTCTCTCAGACTTTCCAATGTGTGCATTTGCTTACTGAGTCAGTACACAACAGGTTCCGGTGCTGTTGAGGAAACAATTTCCGTCTGTTCATATGTTGTTAAAAAGCTATGGGTTTTTCTTTTTAATTTTTTTTTTTAATCCTCACTAAAGGACATTTTTGCATTTATCTTCAGACAGAGCAGGAGGGAGAGAGGGTGGAAGAGAGAGAGAGCAACATCGATGTGAGAGAGACACATTGAGTGGTTGCCACCCACACGACCCCAACCAGGGCTCAGGACAAACTGTAACCGAGGTACGTGCCCTTAGCAGGAACTGAACCCCAGACTCTCTGGTCCGCGGGCTGATGCTCTAACCGCTGAGCCAAACCGGCCAGGGTGCAATGGGTTCTTTAAAAATTTTTTTTTAATTCTTTTAATCCCTTCCTTCCTCCCTCCCTCCCTCCCTCCCTCCCTCCCTCCAAGACTGAATTTCAGATCCTTCGAGGTCCAACATAATTTAAGTGTTAATTCCTATCTAAGCTCTTTTCAAGCTATCGCACTCACCTTGTAGATTCCATTAAACCTTGTGGTCTGTTCTGTGTGTGTCTCAGAAAGAGCAAAGTGACTCTTGCCCTATATTAAACTATTTTGCTTAAGAGTAGGGTGTTTTTCCCCCTTTCCGAGAGTGCATTTATTGATTTGACCTACAAAAGCAAAGAGAAGTCTGATACAACTAAATCAGAGTGCAGGCACTGGACTTCTCCTCTGTTCTGTGGACGACATCTGGTTATGGCCATTCACAGGGCTCTCATTTCAGGGGCAGTGGTTCCAGCCTTCAGTCACCCTGAGTTAGCAAACAATAGTGAGGGCCAGGAAAGAAACAGGCAGCGCTTAATGTTCGGAATGAGATTAAACAAAGGCATAAACATGTTGATATTTCCCTTTGTATTTCTAATATACTCATCTTGGAAGCTAGTATGATATTTTCAATGATGATGACATTGAGAACCTTTGGTTCTAGGACTTTTCCTTTAGAATTGGCATTGGGATCAGAAGACTACATCTTGATTTTTTTTAAAGGGTAGAGTAAATGTCTAGTAGTGGTGTGTATCAGGTGATTGGTCAGGTTGGCTCATTCTAGGTGGAAACTTTGAAGTAGTTCAAAAGAGACGCGTTTCATCATGGAACGACCCGGGCCCTATTTCTGACTCTGCCATGTGTTTGCTTTGTGATGGTAGAGATGTCACCTGGCTGCTTTAAGCTTCCGTTTCTTGACCAGTGAAGTGGGAATAAGATCTGTGAAACCTGATGAGGATTTCCAAGGAATAGCCCAAGTTTGAATCTCATCTCTGTTACTTCCAAATGTTTATGTCTTTTGTATACCCCTTGTTCTGAGCAATATCCGCAGTGTGCTGGGGTCCCGGGATGCTAGTGCTCCAGGAGAATATCTGTCAACGGAGAACCATCATCATAGAGGAAGTGCCCAGAATGTCCAGGTGGCCACTTTCAAAGAGAATAATTATTTCTCATTTATATTTAGGGTTAAAAATAAATAAAAATTGTAAAACCGCCTTCATTTTGGTGAAGCCCCGGTGGTACTCTACCAAATTAAATGGATTTAATAAATGGGATAGCAGCCCTCCTGGGATAATAGATCGGGTCACCCTGCTTATTCCGTTCAACCCGGAGAGGAGTGGAAATATCCAGGGTGGCCGGGGCGAAGCGATCCTGAGCCTTTCCCAGAAAGGAAAGCACATGCTGGTCCTCGAGGTGCTCCGGAATGGCTCAGTAAACGCAGCTGACATTTCGCCTGCCTCTGGGCTTGTGTGGCGTGTCAGCACAGGTATGCAAAGAGCAAGGCCGTCCGCGCAGGGGCTCAGCCACAGGCTGTACACGGGAACCACAGAGCAAGGGAAGGAAAACAGGAATGATCCAGGAGAAGGAGGGAGGAAAAGGGAGGAAAATCAGAAGGGAATTTCATCCCTGAGGACTGTTGCAGAGGGTCACCGTGACCCATCTGCCTGGTGGCACCTGTGCTACTGTCTGTCTACCTGGGATCAAAGTGCACCACCAGTGAGAGGCTGTTTCTCGCAAACAGAAGGACTCTCAGGAGAGGGGTCTCCTCGCAGCTACTCTGGAAACTCTTGCATTTGAACAGTCCCTTCTCTTGGAAAAGCCTTACTTATTTTTTTTTTAAAGTCCCTTTATATTACCTTTGAAATTACTTGCTTCATTATCACAGTAAAAGAACAATTCAGTGTTTATATTGGAAAACTTATTATTTGTGCCTCCAATTTTTTATAAAGGGCATAATTTTTTTAAAAAAACAGGGAATAAAGATTTCAAAAGGGTGGTCAATTATTTGCTGATTGAATTATAGGAAGAAAGTGTGATTATCCCATAGAATTTAGAAATGTATATAGTTAATTTTATGACTGCATGTATCTAACCCAGACATAGCAATTGTAATTACTGTCTCTCTCTCTCTCTTTTTTTTTTTATTTCCTAGGGGAAATAGGTTAGGTTGGACCTGCATGCATCATTATAAAGTGAGCACATATAAATTGAACTTTTCTAAATCTAGGTCAATTGGGTAAGAAGGCTCTTCTGATAAAAACAGGTTGAGGATTAGATTCACAGGCCACTTCAATGTTGAATGATATTTCTTCCCACATCCTGGGTCATAAAGCAGTGTAAATAATACAGCAATGTGATGCAACAGAAAATCACATTCACAATAACAGCAAAGCTGTATAGTGCATGGTTTTATACTTTGATACACTGTGTTCCAGTCTGCCGTGTTAGTGTTTTAAATAATATAACTTCCTTTTCATGTAATTTTAAGTTCATCTTTTCTCTTTATCTTTTTCTGGAATAGCGTTCTATAGTGCTAGGAGAAATTCTTAAAAAATAGAAAGCATAAAGTCAAATACTCTTTTCAGGAAAATACAAAAGATTTCAGACCCTCCAGCCAAAATGTTATATTGTATACTTTACAGACTCAATCTGTGTGCCAGGCTTTGATCCAGGCCTCAACATGATGACTGGGATCACCCCCATCAACCCAATGATGCCAGGCCTGGGGCTGGTGCCACCCCCACCGCCCACAGAAGTGGCTGTCATCAAAGAGATCATCCACTGCAAAAGTTGTACTCTTTTCCCGCAAAACCCAAGTAAGTGATGCCTGTGAGAAATGTTTGCTTATCAATTTAAAAAATTTTTAAATATAGCGTTGCATTCATTTTCAGATATGACTCAGAATTTTTCCACATACACAGAGTGGGTGGGGATCCATTTCACGGAAGTCTTTTGTGTCTAGAACACAGGTGTGGGGCTATGTCCATGTGTCTGTCCATGAGCGGAGTCAACACCGTGAAGGCAGTGCATGTGATTTGGGAATATTTACCGGGCATTAAGGACCCTTTTGCATGCAGGGAAGTCTGGATTTTGCTGTAGAACATAGTGTGAAATGTGCGAATACTTCCATCCATCTTCACAGATGTGGGAGGAAAACTCTGAAATGCTTTTTGCTAGATGGAAAATTGAATTAATTTGGCAGTTAGCAATTTTGGGGGGGAGCCTGCATCTCAGACTTCCTGGGCCAAATTGCATTTGCTTGAAGGAAACATACATTTGATGAAATAAATGGGCCAGAATGTTGGTGTTTTCTTTTTCTTTTTTTTTTCTTTAATTTAGCCTCAGATACTAAGTTTATGGGCTTAAATAGCTAGGATTTTTTTTTTTTTATTCATATTAATCAGTCTTGCCTTTTTAAGTGGACTTCTTGGAAGATTGCTTTAGTAATCTACATATAAACTAGGTAAAATGTTGTGACAGTGTACATTTTATCTTTTTATACAGCCTTTCCCAAGTTTAATAGTTTGCTCATTTCAATGTGAATAATAAAAAAAAAATAAAAAATGCTTTCTTCAGGCTGTGGGTTTCCCAGCCCAGCGTGTACGCACACGTTCCGGTCGGGTTCCCTGCGTTCTGCCCTGTGGCTCCATTATCCCGCAACAAGACAAAGCAGATAACAGCCGAGGCTTTTCATCATGTTGTCATTTCATCACGCTTTGTACCTCGTGCAGGTTTTCCCCTGTTTTCTGGGCTTCTGTATTGTGAAGGAGAAATGAAATTATGCTAACATTTGCTTTATCTTTGTCCATGGACAAGCCCAGCTACTCGGTGTGGAAATGAACACAGAAAGTAAAGAAAGTTGGGAGGAGGAGGGGAACGGGACTGAAAAACAAGACAGCCCACAATCAGTGTAAGTCGGGGTAAAAATGCGTCATTCCCCAGAGTGGAGGCAGTTACTCGGCAAGTCTTACTTTTGCCAAGTGAACCAGAAAAAAGAGCGCAAAGAAATCAAAGGCAAAACCCTCTGTCCTGTTGTGCTTAATTACTAGATCTCCCACCGCCTTCCACGAGAGAACGGCCTCCCGGGTGTAAGACTGTGTTCGTCGGAGGATTACCAGAAAACGCTACTGAGGAGATCATTCAAGAAGTCTTTGAGCAGTGCGGTGACATCACAGCGATTCGGAAAAGCAAGAAGAATTTCTGCCACATTCGCTTTGCAGAGGAGTTCATGGTTGATAAAGCCATTTACCTTTCTGGTACTTTGCATTTACGTAAGGGGTTTTCTAGGCAATTTGTTATGTTTTATGATGTTCATATGAGTTTCTTCCCTCTTGCCTTAATGCACAATAAACATCCTCCGAGTTTGGGCCGCGAAGAGGAAGAATTGAGGTTTTCCCTCGGCTGCCACGTGGCGAGTGTGGCTGTGCCCCTCTGCAGGAGCGGTTTCCCACATCCAGCCGTTAGGAATTCCATCAAGTTTCTAATTAATGATCTCAAGTACTTATTAGATGAAAAGCAATATTATGAATCCTGAGGACCATTATGATTATTGGATGAAATTCTCTGGGGGAATAAAGTACTCTCTCAGCATAATTTCAGTCTTTCAGAAGTGATTCACTTTCTAGACACTAGGGGACTAAATCGAGATCAGTTCTTTGAAGACACGAGTCTGTGGGAGCCGGCAGAAGACCCAGGAGCATCGCCCAACTGCTAAGACATTTGTCTCGGTTCAGCCTACCCCATGGCCCCTTCTTCTTTGGTGCAGATTTACATGGGAGATTTTTACAGATGTTGAAATCAGACCCAATGTTGCCTTTTGCTCTGTGGCTGGCCAGAATGATGGGGCTGGTATTGATACGTGGCTTTAGAAGGGTGTATTTTTAGATTCAACTCATTGCCCTTTCCTCACGCTCGCTCTCAATCCGCATGTTCCAGTCGGTCAGTCTGGGCACCACCTCCCCACTCCTGAGGCAAAGCCAAGGGGGAAGGTGAGAAAAGAATAGGAAAAGAAATAAAGCACACCTGAACATGACGGGCAGGTTTACTTGATTTCTGCGATCAGCCCCTGTCACCATGAAATTCTCTTGCAAACCCCAGAAGCCTTGGGGTTGATCCAACAAGGCAGAAACTTTCCTGAGCAAGATTAGTGATGTGGAGAAGTTAAAAACGCTTATTCCAATAAAGCCTTACAAAGTGGGGGGGAAAGTATCTGACAGCTTTCCAAAAGGGAGATGGAAGAAAAAACAGAGACTTAACTATTTTATGCCACGCGGACAGCTGTGTGTCACGTTTCTCGTGTTCTCGAGCTGTGGCCTCAGAGCAGGCCTGAGAGGCGAGCGCCGGCCCCGGGCTGCGTGTGCCGGCCCCGGGCTGCGTGTGCCGTGCGCAGGATACCCCCCCCTCCTTTCCCTCATCTGCAAAGTCGAGATGGTGACAGTGCTACCTCCCAGGATTGTTATGGGAATAAATCAAAATAATGGATATGAAGGCTTGGCAGAGCCCCTGCAACATAGGACCATTCAGTACGTAAATGTTTTTAATACAAACATCCTGATGATGATAAAGAATTTACTTGTTTCCCAGGAACCCTGCCCTGGGAAAATGGTTCTAATCACAGCTCTACCAATAAAACTATCACTTTATCCCACCCGATTAGATGAGAGGGTTAGAGCAGGTCAAAGGTGCTTTAACACCAACAAAGCACAATGTTAAGACCCAACCAGAAACCCCATAAAACACTGCCAGTGTGAACAGGCCCGAAGGTAGGCATGTGAGAGATTCTCCTTTATTTATGCTTTACGTTATGATTTTGCCAGCTTGGACCCTGGTCCTGCTCAGCAGGGCCCTGAGTGCCTCTTTGGTCTGCCCTTTTGAGACAGGAGGAACCCACAGCAAAGGCCTTACCTCAGCCTCCTTGCCTGGGTGCGTGGGCATCTCCCAGCTGTGCCTCCGCTGCCCTGTGGAGGCTGCAGCACCCCTCCTCCCCTGGAGAGCTGCAAGGCTGATTGATGTGAGGGACAGGAAGGAGGGAAGGCTGCTCCTCCTGCATGTGAGCTGCAAGCCGGAGCCCAGATGGAAGGCTTGTCTAATTTTAGGACCGGGTTCACATCTGAAGGCCAAGCTAATTTTAGACTCAGCCTCATCAGATTGTCTTTTAAGGCCTTAATGAAGATGTTTTGGTGAAAGAGAGGGTGCTTTTTGGAACCAGAAATGTCAGAAAAGCAATGTTCTGGACGTGAGCAAGGGAAAGTTGCTTAGCCAGTTGGGACACTGGCCAGTCCCAAGCTGCCCTGCACACTCAGCTATTATGTATATATATATATCACTGTGGCCTGCAGATTTGTTCTGTTTCCATGGCCCACAACCAAGATACACTCTGCTTTGGAATTAATTCTGCTCATCTGTGATCAGATGTTTGTGTTTTTGACAGGTATTGTTAATGTCTTTCCATCTTTAGATTAACTCCATTGAAACCTAGGCACAAGAAGGGTATAATGGGAATCAGATGTGAAATCTGTTTCATATTTGTAACTTTTCAAATGTGTGAAGTGCCCTACTGGGGAGAAGTCAGCTTCGACAGGGATTTTCAGCTGAATTTCAACCCAAAATGCTATGATAATCCTTTGAAATCTACCCCAAGATCTCAGACATCAGCAGTGTAGCCTTGCATTTCACAGTGGTGTCATTTGCAAAGCCCCAACACAGCAAAAGTGCTTATTTGTGTTCTCTCCTCTGGTAGCCCCTCAGAGCTGGGATCCTGAGGGGACCCGAATATATGTGTTTAAATTCTGAGTACCCCAAACTGAAGAGCAACCTCAAAGCCAAGTCTTCTTCAGTTGAAGTTTGGCTGGCTGTCTGGTTTCATTTCTGTTTCTGTTGATTTCTCAGATCAGGTTTCTGCTCACAGTCTTTGTAAGTTGGGTAGCTTCAGTAAATCTTGCAGAGATCTGTGAACCCATTTTGTGGTCTAGCCCAGGGCACTTTGGTTGGCTTCTGTGGCCTTCAGAGGTTGTGTGGGCTGTTGGTGCAGTGCTGCATGCCCAATGAGATGGTGCAGGGCTGGACCGGAGACAGTGGCAAGGCCTGTCGATTGCAGGTAAAATATTAGTCTGCCCCAGAGGATAAGTGGAAATAAAACAGTGTTGCAAAATTGCCATGGTAATTGTGGCTTTTGCAGCTGCCGGAGAGAGAATTGAGCAGCAGCAATTTCTGGGAGAATGAAGTGATAGCCTGTGTGGAATTTACTTTGTAGATCTCTTTAAATATCATAGATACTTTTTATTTACTGCTATTCCATCTCTTTCTAAAAAGAATTTAAGAGAGCTCATGCAATGGAGTTACAGTAAATTGAAAGTATAACATCAAAGACATAAAAAAGGTAGAGGGGAGGAAATAAAGCTATGTGTCAAACTTGTTTCTGAGCTTCCTGGAAGCCAGAGGGAAGAAGGAGTTAGCACAGACACCCAGGTTCTTGAAATCATCATCTTGGTAACACTGGCTTACAAATGTGAAGGAGACCCTCTAACACACCTCTCAGCCAAGTGTTTTACCCCAAATCTGTAATAGCTTGACTTGGCAGTGTTTCCAAATTACCAGGGAGAAGGATAACTGCCTCCCACTTCTGATGAGAAGGGTGTCTTTTGTAAGAGCAAAGAAATAACAAAGAGCTCACTTCGTGGGCCTTGGTCAGGGCCCTGACCAAACTGTGCCGCTGGACTTTGCTGTGACCAGACTTCCCATTGGTTTCAGGTTACCGCATGCGACTAGGGTCTAGCACCGACAAAAAAGATTCGGGCCGCCTGCACGTGGACTTCGCCCAGGCCAGGGACGACTTCTACGAGTGGGAATGCAAGCAGAGGATGCGCGCGCGCGAGGAGCGGCACCGGCGCAAGCTGGAGGAGGACCGGCTGCGGCCGCCCTCGCCGCCGGCCATCATGCACTACTCGGAGCACGAGGCCACCCTGCTGGCCGAGAAGCTGAAAGGTAGGCGCCCGGTGCCCGCGTTGCCCTTCTTCCTCCGCGTTAGCCGTGGCCCCTGAACACTGAAGCCCCGTGTGTCTCCTATTCCTACAAGAGCTGATTTCATGGGCGCAGGGGGGTCGCAGGACACCACTGAGCGGTCCGGCTGTTTAGGACAGAGCCCTGCCCTTTCCCAGGGCTCCCGTCACTGTTGTCTGTGGATGTGTGTGCACTGTCACCTCCTGGAAAGAGGGGCAGAAGAGTCACCAGCACTGGCCCCAGAGCAGGCTCCTGCCTTCTGACTTGTGTCAGGTGAGCCAAGCTGGCGTCGGCTCGGTGGGCCGGCGGGTCCTGTGTTCCTCCTGCTCTGCAGAGTTTGCACCTGCCCCAGACTCTTCACAAGCCCCGCCTTACCCATGCCGCTCGCCCCGGGGGCCTTGGCGGACAGAAGAGGAAAGGAGAATAGGATCCCTGTCTTCAGAGATGGAGTTGAGGGGACACTCCTAATGCCTACAGATTGATTAGGACTAGAAGCGTGTACATTTCTTTTCTTCAGATGTTTTCTGTGCTCTTCTCCCGTGTTTGGTGCTATGAGAGATGAAGATATGGAGGCTTGATTACCTGCTCTGGTGAACTACAGAGGATTGGGGAGGGGCCGGGTATTCAAATTAGGATTATGTGTGTATGTGAATTTTTTGCCATTGCTAATCGAAGTTGTGTGACATGAGCAACATCTGAGCATTTTAGTCTGTCCTCGGGTCACTGGGTGTGTCAGTTTTTAATGAGAGTACATAGGTTACAGTTGCTGGCCACACAGGTGTCTTCAAGTGAATGATTAACAGCAATACAGAGCCAAGGACATGGCTATCCAAGGTGTGAGCAACATACTTGGAGAACTCAAGAATGAGTGCAAATAACGTTGAATGTCACAAGGAAGTCTTCAGAGAGGAGGCAGGATTTGACCTTTGCAAGATAAACAAGATTTTTTTTTTTCTCACAGAAAGAATGGGCATACACATTCTAGTCCAGGGCTGGAGTCCTAGGAAGAAACATACAGGGGAGCAGAGAGGCACTGGCAGAGGAGGAGAAAGGCCTGGCTCTCACGGGCAGGGGAGCTGGGGAAGCAGGCGGGGCCAGGTTGAGGGCCGCCACTGGCTTTGGGGCTTGTTCATAAGCAGCGCGAAAGCCATTGCAGGTTTCCTCTGAGAGGAAAGATGCGATTGGTCCTTCGAGTATTTTAGAACAAAGCTCGTGTATTGCTTGGCAGTGTGTAAAGTGGATTGGATGTTTTCACCGAAGGAAATGTATGAAAACCTGCCCAGATCCTATTTTAAAAAGATAGGAGGTTGACATTCTATGCTTGAAAAAATAATAATTTTTAAACAAAAAGACGTGTGCTTCTCGCCCTCGTCCCCTGTCCAGGGCTTGGGAACCCCCAGTAAGCATCAGCTGCCACTGAAATGCCCCACTGTAACACAGAGAGGTGGCGACGGTCCTTCCAATAAAAAGCCTGTAAAATGTAAATAGTTCTCACTTTTTCATTCAGACTCGAAGCCATACCAAGTGGCCAGAAGGAGTAAGAGCAACATCCTCAATCAGGAATGTTGAATTGGGGACAAATTAATTTTTTCTTTCATATCCAGTTATCAGCTTCTGCCATGTCCACTCCTAGAAGTGACAAAAACTAGCACCTTGATTCTGTGACCTGTGAAGGAATTTCACGAAGGTTTGGCACATACATCATGTTCTTTTTAAGGAACCAACACAGAATATCTGTGCACGTAGGAGGACCACGGCATTGCTTTCCCTGTTAGAGGACAGCAGATTGGGATGTCAGTTTGGTAAAGTAATTTGCAAGCCTTGCCATTTCAAAAATATATATTTATATATATATGAGTATAATTTGCAGAATTTGGAAGCTGCACCTTTGCCAAGTACTGTGTGATCCCTTGAGAGAGAACAGATTGGAAATTTTAATAGATGGCAGTTACAGTAGAATGAACTAGCTGGGGATACGTCTTAGGCAATAGTCAGGTAATATCAAGCTTGACAATTTCAACCCAAGCACAGAGTTTGGAATATAAACAGCGTTTAATTGCTTAGGAAATTGTCTGCCTCAGAGAGGAAATCCACTCATGCTCCTTATAATGCTGCAAAGCCAAACAGGAGGAGCCAAGGAAACTTTCCCTGAAGATGATTTTATTGATGTGGGGATATAAAATGCAGTCAAGAACTAAGGTAAAGAAGCCTAGATCAAAAAGGAGGTGGAAATGCAATCTGAAAGGCCTTATTGGATTTCTTTTCTCCCTGGAGAAATCTTGCTATCTTATGTTTATTACAAACATTTCCCCCCATTTTTACATCGTATTTGTTTATTCTTACAATTTTCTTTCTGAAAATCAGCTTTTTGCAATAAAATCTGCATAGTCTAAACCTGTTCTTACTCAGTTTTCAATGATAAAATTTTGTGTGTGTGATTCTCTCTTTTTCCTATTTTTTTCAATTATAGTTTACATTCAGTATTATTTTGTATTAGTTTCAGGTGTACAGCATAGTGGTTGGACAATCATCTACTTTACAAAGGGTTGCCCTTGATATTTGCAGTACACACCTGGCACCAAAGTTATTACAATATTATTGACTGTATTCCCTATGCTCTATGTTACATCATCATCTAAGTCTTCATTACAACCCACATGGCCTTTCATATCCTGCTCGGTGCTAAGACCATGCACATAGTAGATGCTCAGTAAAGGAATTCCGTTCTATTTCTCAGCTCCTTGGATCTGTGAGCATGTTGTATTTCCGGCCAACGGTGCTGCCAGGCAAGTTAGGGAAGTTGTGTGCACTCAGCCCTCATTCCAGTCACTCCACGAGTGTTTGTCGAGCTCTTCACCACATGCCTGGCACTGGGCTGAGCACGGTGGGGAAAGAAACAGGAGCCAAGCCTCTGTCTCACAGTTTGTGCGCCTTGAGTGACAGAGCAATTTGCAAAGCACTCTGTACTTCTCCTCTTGCAAGTGGGAGGTGCAGGGTGCTATCCCAGGGGACAGAGGCACCCCACCTGGCCAGAGGAGGGGTGAGACGGGAATCTTCTGGGACCAGGGAACCCTGCATTCAGGGGCCATGGGGCCTTCTGAAGTCAGAAGAACCATTGAGTTGTAACTGTGTAGTGTCTAAGGCATGAAGCTCCAGTGTCTGTTACGTCAATACAAATTCTAAAAAAGAAAATTAGCGGGCACCCTGCTGATTAAATAGACATTGTTCTGAGACAGTTCAACTTAATGAAGACTGACTGGGAAGTGCCCACAGACCAAAGTTTATAGCACAGCTTTGAGAAAGTGAGGAGGAGCTCAATAACACCATAATTACGCTTTATTGGAAACAGGAGCACCAGGCAGATGAGATAATGAATTTCAGTGTGTCTAACACAGACCATCCACCCCTGGAGGAACCCTGTGTTTGGACTGTGGAAGGAAGACATTGATCAGACAGTGTGGAGAGATTATATCCTAAGTCACTGAGGATCTCTCCAGCAAGAGCATTTGAAAGCGTATTTCCCCACCTTGAAAGTGTCACATCATCTGTATGTGATGAAATGAAGAGTTTTTCTGTGGCTCAGGGGAAGTTTCGATGAAGCTTGGCAAGCAGTGCCCTCGGGATTTCCTGATGTGTCATCAGGAATCCAGTCCTTCCGGGTCAACACGTACGTCCAGAGGACAGGACTCTGCTTGCGTAGGCACGCCCAGTGTCTGCCGCTGGGGGGCGGGGTGGGTGCTGCCAGCGCGGTCCTGAGATGCTTGTCAGTATTTATGAGTCTGAGAATGCAGAATCGATAACCCTCTTAGCCAAGTGGAGGTTCCATTAGCTAAAAGCCAGGCTTCCTTCTGAGGGCGCAGGAGCTTGTCGGGAATCCCTTCAGGCCGGCTTGACCTTCACAGAGGACGGTAGGCCTTTCATTTAGAAACCTGTGCTTGACCCCCAGAGCAGGAGTGGTCTGTGCATTTTCATCTCGCCCCTCTTAGCTTTTGTATTTTTATGGGTACTAATTAGTCAAGGAGATTGTGCGTGGGGGGGCGGGCAGTGGGGAAAACTGTGTGTATAGCCTCTTACGCTATCCGTGATTTGGAGGACAGGTTAGGTACCACCTCTTTTGATGGTTAGTTGAGCAGCCAGAAAATGGAGACTTGTTTAGGGATGTCCCATGTCGGGGGTAACAGTGACATTTCCTGAAGGTGACAGTGACTGTTTTGCCCATCCTGGGATTCCTTGTCAATGTGTGGCTGTACTCTCTGAAGTACTTCCAGCTATCACAGAGCCAAAACCAATGACAACTGTATAGATGCACCATTGTCCGTGTGTGTGTGTGTACACGTGTGTATGTCTTTAAGAAAAATCATTGTAGAATGTCTTCCTTTGTCTCTCATTCTCCAGTCACTGTGTTCAAACCTGGACTCTCCTCTCCTGTTGCTCCATTACAGACCCATCCATAGATAAGGGTACAGGGCCGCCAGCCAGTATGCACTCATTGCTCACGGCCTGACTTCTGTCCCATGTGCTGTTCTGAAATTCAGCGCCAGATCGCCCTCTGAACACAAAAGGGGAAAAAACAACTACTCGCCAATTTGATTCCTTTCCCCCTTTATTAGCTGGACATCACTTTGATTTAAGTTCATCAAGTACCCACCTGCTGAGTCCTGGGCTGTCTGCTGCACCTGGGGTTTCAGCTGTGACCACAGCCTGGGCCAGGCCCTTGCGGAGCGAGCGCACACAGGGCAGTGAAGTCCTGACAGCCTCACAAAGAGAGAATGAACACGTGCCAGTGATTTTATTTAACTCTTTAATTAATGAGGGATCAGTAAGAAGTGAAAACTAGCTCAAAAGAAGAGTTTGCTTTATAAATATTTAATTTCCCACTGGACAGAAATTCATTTGCATTGTTATAGAGAAGAATGACTGGCATTGCTATCCATTTTCCTCAATTTATGTTCTGCCCCTCCCACATTGTCAAAGGGCCTAGTCAA